AGAGCATTTGCCTAGCAAGTTCAAGAATCCCTCTGAGTGTGTGCGTGTGTGTGTGTGTGTGTGTGTGTGTGTGTGTGTGTGTAGGGGGGGAACAAACAAACAAAACAACAATACCATACACAAGGTCCCAGGACAGGGATGGGATTTGAACTGAGGTAGACTGGTTCTGGATACCATGCATGTGACTAAATCCTGGCCAATTTTCACTACATTCACCAGGTGTTCATATAAGTTTCTCCTCACCATCAATCAATATGATAGGGTTTTGCTACTTGAAAAATAAGGATATTAGTGCTCAATAAGAGGCAGCACCAAAGTTGCAATTCTAGTAAGCTGGAGAACTAATATCCTTATAGAACCTATGACTGATGCCAAAGTGTATTAACCAGGGGACTTCATCAAGAGCTAAAATCTTCCATGTTCAAGAAAGTAAAAGATGGACAAATATTCATGTCATATGGAAAATATGATCTAGAACCATAAAAGTCCAGAGTGAGCAGAATTTTAAAATTGTTTTTTAATCATACTTCTTCAAAAAACTCCTTTTCTTATTCTTATAGGGCAATGTAAAAAAGTAATTGCTAATATTTCAACAATTATTAAGAGATACTTCCCACTGTATTAATACCATAAAATTAAGTCTGTAAGTAAAGCATTCAAGCACCATAGACATAGGATAGAGTAAGCAAGCATATTCTATAAATAGTTCTTATGAGATTCCAGATTACCTACCTGGTGTAAATGTCTTTTTTTAATATACCTAAAACATCCTCCCACTCAAAGATGTACATAATAATTGGCCTAAAGATAGCACACATAAAGCTTATTAAACAGCATCCCTTTTAAAGGAATGACTATCACCTTAATGGTTTGGTTAGTTGGAATCAAATTTTGGATTTGATTTCATAACGTGATTAGTGGAAACTTTAGACTTTGTCAGTGATGCCTAGAATAGGGGAGGTATTTGACAGAAATTTCAGTAAACCCTGACCCCTGACTACATACTGGCAAACAAATATATATCATCTGTACTTCATGTTGTCTAAAGTGAGAAACTTAGAAGCAGAGATTTGTTCTATGAAGCAAATCTTATTGTCCTCCACACACAAAAAAGACATAGAAAAGGCAGGGAAGAAAAAGTAATGCCATTTCTTTCCCCATTGCTAGGTTCCTGGCCAAGATCCTTGTAACAAAACATAAATTAACAAGAGAAAATTGCAGCAAATTTATTCAATGTATGTTTTATGTGACACGGGAGGCTTCAGAAATGAAGAGACAAAAAAAGAGGGGGGAAATGTATTTTTTATGGAAAGTCAGGAAGAAGTGTGACTGGAAGGCAAAAGGGTGTGATCTAGTGGTAATAAACTGGTGGGAATTTAACAAGGCCTATTTGTTCTTAGTCTTTGAGTATAAAGCAGGACCTTTCTCAAGTGAGGGTCTTATGGGCTACTTTTAGGGTAGGTAGGTCAGATAATTCTTTTATGGTCTGCCTCAGTGGAGAAGGTAGAACAAGACCAGAGACTGACTTTTCTGCGACAATGTTTTCTCAATTTCTTTGACCTTAAAATACACGTGATGTCAAGGTGCCATATTTTTGGACATCACATTCTGAGTCTCATCATAAACAATCACAAAATCCAGGTCCTCGTGAAGCTTACATTCTCAGAGGACTAATGAAACAACATAAATAAAGAAACATAAAACACACACACACACACAACAGCGAGGAATGACTTTACCGAAATCAAATACGACAACAGGACAAGGAACATGAGATTCAGGAGGATTATGGGGGTCAGGGTAAGCAGATGTGAAGGGCTACAACTCAGAGACAAGGGAGAGATGATTTCTCAAACCTGCAGGACGCTCACACCATTGCAATACTCACCTGGTGCATGGCAGTGTTCTACTACTTTTAAGCTTGAAAAAGAGAGCTAATAATCAATTGTGAAATAAGAGGTCACTCTTTTACGTCGCTATTTCCCTTTTCCTGCTACAAGTGCCTTACTGAGTAAAGCCAGGCCACCCTTGTTCTTTGCAAAGCTGAATCTAAAGCTTCTGAAATGAAACCCCTCAAGTGGTATCATGTTCAAGGGGCTAACTCGGTGGTACACCTTCATTAACAATCACAACACTTGCTTCGGGGGGAAAAGACCATTACTGGGCTTATTGCAATTACTACTCAGCATGAGACAAAAATGGTTTAGAACCCAGCCATGAGGTGCAACACTGAGAATCACACGCACAGGCAAAGATGAAGAGAACAGGTCCTGGGCTTCCTGTGGCAGGCTGTCAAACTCTGCTTCAAAATGTGCAACTGTGTGAATTTCAAAATGTGAAATGCTCTGAGTTTCAACTGTAGGTTCCGGAATTGCCCAGCTGAATAGAAAAGATACTGGTGTGCTCCCTGGAGTGGCTGCCTACTGTCAGACTGGCTTCTGTGGTCATGGTTTTGTGGCCATCATGACTTACTATTTTATCACTATAAAATGGTAAGGCTGGGAAATAATCTAGATGCTGGAAAGAGTCATGGGGTGCATACTTCTATAAAGAAGACTCCCCGGTCCCAACCACAGCATCCTAAGTTAGTAGTCTTAATCTAAGGACTGAGAATCAATGTGTTATTGTTGTTGCTGAACACTGAAGTTAATTTTCATGCAGGTGGTGTAAGGGTCATTTTATAACATAGATTACATACCTTTACAAAGGTGGATTTAGTTCAAAAGGACAGTTTTCAAAACTTCACTGTCCACTGAGGGAGTGTGTGTGTATTGTGGGGGGAGGATTTTCCTTTAGTCATTTTATTCCACAAAGGATTTGAGATGGCCCCATTAATTCCCCCTGGGGAAATTTTGCAATCAGGTTGGAAACAAAAGATTTCTAAAACATCTTTAAAGAAAAATACAATTGTTTTAAAAAACTTAAACCAAACAATAATGGTGGTAGTAGTAACTACATTCAATAATTCATAGATAAGTGCTATATGTTAAGAATAGATCCATCATCATCACTATTAAAGCTAACAAATACATTACAATTTTGGCCAGATAACTGGGATGTCACAGTTATTGCTATTGAAATCAGAGAGTTTTTAGCTGTGGTTCTCAGTTCTGTTAGATTCGATGTTTGTCTGTTTTTAAATATGTGTTGTTGTCTTCTTCTTATTATTATTATTTATTTATTTTTTGTAGTACTGAGGTTAGAACTCCAAGCTTCATGCTTGCTAAGCAAGCTCTGTACACTTGAACCATACCTCCAGGCCTATATTTTTAATCCAGAGATAATTCAAATACCATACCAAATACATTTTTGAAGTATTTGTGTCAGTGGGATTTAGTATACTCACAGTGTTGCACCCTCATCACCACTATAAAATTCATAATATTTTCACTACCCCAAAAAAAGAAAACCATACCCACTGGCAGTCACTCCCATCCCTCCTTTCCCTACTCCCTGGCAACCACTAATCTTTCTGTCTCTATTGAAGGCTGTTTGTATAGCAAATAATTTTAATGCCCCCCTTTAGAATTTTGAAATAAGATTTTGAGATCATATAACCAATCTATTCACATAAATTTTAGTTATGTTTAAAATGTGCATTTTAAACATAAAATCTGTGTATTCCACTTAATATGGTTGTACATTCTCCCATGTTACTTGCTATGTGCCTATACTGTCACTTTCAATGGCTGAAGAATTGTATCAAATAGATCTTATTTAATACATCTAACTAATCCAGTGTGGTTGGAATTTACATTTGGACACTGTTTTTTAAACTCCGGTAACCAGTTTTGAACATTTTTGTTTTGAATTTTAAGAATCAATTTAAAAATGAAGGCTATGGTTTTATATATCCTTTTTTTAGTGTTTGCTTATTTGGACTCCTAACATGGTGGTAGACAGGGGTAGATGGAATCTAAAAGTCCCCTCTGTCTGTATCCCACACCATATGTATGGAGCAATCAGGGGGCTAGTCTCCTTTTATCATAAGGAATTTGGTGACCCATTTGATGACAGTCCCTTTGAGATAATTCTCCTCAAAGGTACTTTCCACTCATGTACTGTAAAAGTTCCACAGTAGCTGTGTAAAACACAAAAGCCACACACAAACTAAGATCAATAAAGGAACCATGTTCTTTGTTTGGTGCTAAGTGTTACCTTATCCACTTAGCCAGTTGTGGAGCTGTAAGTTTGTGAACTTTATTTCATAAAGCATAATATTAGCACCATAGTCTGGCTTGCTTTTGAATTTTACCACCCCAAAATCCAGCCTTTTCTATCATTTAGGCATAGGACCTAGCTACACAGGGACATGCATTTTATGTAAGGGACTGAAACCCAACTTGAGAATCAGCCGGGAGCTTCATCTTGCATTTTTACTATGGAATCTGAGACTATCCTAATAAATCCTTCTTTCCTTTCTAGCACACTTAAAAACTCATTTTTCGAGCTCCACTGAATCTATTAGATTTGAACTTTGGTATTAAGTAGCCGGGAAGGAAAAGAGGCAGTATGGGGTGGAGAGAACAGTGAGAAACACTGGTCCAAGAGGGATGGGATACAATCGCTTCACCATTACCACCACAAACACACCTCTTCATTCAAGAAGGATTAGGTGAAAGTTGACAATGGAAAAAACCAAAGCTTTAGTCTTAACATAAAAATCCACACAAAGCTGACATGCTGTGTCCTGGACTGTACCTCCCAGGAACCCATTTGACTTCAGTTTCTGTTTTAGGACTCCTTGATTTAGTTTCTGTTTTAGCGTTTGCACATTAATAATTTTACGACAAAAGGTAAATGTCTTGTAAACTAATGGGAAACATATTGTTTGGCATGGTTTATAATGTCAGGATTTATGCCTCTAGCACTGAGGGGTCTCTGTGACCTCGAAGATAACATAATGAAATAGCAGTGTGCTGCAAAGTGACTCACTGTGATTTTTTATTAGTCCTCATAATTGCCCCTTATTAATTTGTATGCACATAATAAGCACTCACCTTCACAGTCTGTCCGGCTTCAGGACCATCCTAGGAGAAGAAAAAAAGCAGCTGAGGCGAGAACAGATAGATGATATCACCTGCTTATTCAGAAATAACGCCCGTTAATAATTTAGATCCAATTTCATTGTGTGTTAATTTATAGTATTCTCATGGGAACCATTCTCTTCAAATACGTGGGACCAGACAGTTCTCCATTTCTGCCTGAGAGTGAGAAGTTATGTATAAAAATGATATAAATTATCCAGCAAGCCAATCCCCTCACTGCATTTCATGCTCTTTGCTCTTGGCTATGGTTTTAATTGCATTAAAGTAAGACTGAAAATGTTTGGGGAGGTGAAGTATCACACCTTTTGGTTATCTTTAAATCAGATGTGGTTTAATTAATGTCTGATTACTTAAGTCTCTACTCGGGAAATCTGCTGTAACCACAATCCATTAAGTGAGAATATGGGTGTTTCATATAGGAAGAGTCCTTTTGGGCTATTCTGAACTTGGAGGAAGAAAAATGGGAGTGTTCATTGTAGCTGGGCCCTTTTCCCATTTTGATTCCCTCCCCTAGCTTCATCAAGTCCAACAAAACTATTGTCTTAGTTGAAAATGAGCAGACTCGCCTAGTCACTAGCTATAACACAAAGCCAAAGCAGGTCTTAGCAGGCTTGTAATAGCAGGACAAGAAACACCTATTCAACAGAAATCCCAAAATGGAATTTCTGTGAGTTTAGCTAAATCTGTCTCCCTCTATAAGCCAGACAAGTTGGGCTAGAATCTCTGCCTTGCTGTGGCAAGGATTAAGCAGAACTGTGTACATTAGTACTTTACAAATGTGGAGTCATTACTCATTAGGGTCATTAAAGCAACTCAACAGGTTTGCAACCAATATTAAAATTAGGGCTGGGGGTGCAGGTCAAGTGGTGATGGTTTTACAACACCAAGTATAGTAAGTCATACTGACTCAGAAACTTTAAAAGGGTATTTGGTATGGTGTTTGAATTATCTCTGGATTAAAAATAATAGTAATAGAGCTGGAGGTGTGGCTCAAGCAGTACAGCACCTGCCTAGCAAGCATGTGCATCTGAGTTCAAACCCCGGTACCACCAAAAAAAAAAAAACCCACAACATAATGGAACAAAAACTATTACAATGCAAAGAATGCGTAAACAGTGTTTTGTGAAACTCTGGTTTCAGTGTCTGCGTATGTGTACATGTATGTATATGTGAGTGTGGAATATACTTGATTGTAAATTAAATATTTAACTGTGGGTTACAATAAGCAAAAGTTTCACAATACTACATATATGAAAGTATTCAAAGTATCACACATGGTTCTTACATTTATGGAATTAACCTTCTAGTGAATCCTATTTCCTATAATCATTCATTTTCTTCTGGTTTTTCATTGAACACTGATGGATGTTCTCACCAATTTCCCTTACGTGGTCTCTCTGGAAACCCAGTTTTCAACATGAACTTGATAAACCCATTCAGAGTTAAACTACCTTCCTAAAGGTGACTCAAATGGTGTGACCCCCCCCACACACACACACACACACACACACACACACACACAATGTACTTTTAGAGAAGTTTAGATATTCTAAAACACAGACAAGGCAGAAAAAAATTATATTTCTTCAAGAGTTAATGAGAAATTTTAGTCAGAGCTTTTGACAGCCTGAAGGCGAAGGTGTCTGGTCTCTTTGGAGGGCGATGCAGAGAGCTGAGGAAGGGCGAAAGGATGGTAAACATTAAGTCTAACCAAAGTGTTGAGGACGCAATGCCACATTTTGGAACAACTGATTTCCAGGGGGAAGCTGCACAGTCATCACATTTCAGAGCCGCAAAGAGCTTCACGCATGTGCTGATACCCAGGCCCTCTCCACGGGGATTTGAGGGGCTCATGTATTTCGTACTATTGGCTCAACATCCAGTCGATGACAAGTCATGGACTTCTTCCTCTAAACTTCTGCCTGAAGATCTCTGGTGACTAGCTTTGATTTATTTCTTATCAATCAATCTAGTTTGTACCAACCTATGTCCAATCACTACTGCAGCTTGAGAAGTAGAGAGAAGGTAAGCTCCATGAGGGCAAGGCAGCAAGGCTCAATCTAGCCCACATATCACCACTCCCTCGGAACCAGAGCAGGGCTTAGCTCATGAAAGCTCAAAACATATTTACCAGAGTATAAAAATGACTTGTCCGGTCCTGTTTCTAGTATAAGATCAGGGATGTCTTTTTAAATTGTTTTTTTCTTTTGGTGGGACTGGGGTTTGAACTGAGGGCTTCTCACTTATAAATCAGGCATTCTATTGCTTGAACCACAGCTCCAGACTTTTTTTTTTTTCTTTAATATTTAAACTTAGGGCCTTGTGTTTCCTAGGCAGCTGCTCTACAACTTGAGCCACACACCCCCAGTCCATTTTTGCTTTAGTTGTTTTTCAGATAGGGTCTCATGTTTTTGCCTGGGCCAGCCTTAGACTGCAGTCCTCTTATGCCTCCCATGTAGTTGCCCAAAGAGGGCACCTCAGCTTAAGGGCTGAGGTGGGGTCTCACTAACTTTTTAACCTGGCTGTCTTTGAACCACAGTCCTCCCATCTCTGCCTCCCAAGAAGTTTGGATTACAACATGGTCACCATCCCAGGCGGGAACATCTTAATGCCTATTGAATATCTTACCTATGACTCCCACCGGATTTGTAAATAATACTGCAGAAATTGCCTCTGATGATAATGCAACACTACGTTGGGACCAATGGACAGCAGAGCTACACTGAATTAATAACATCTTTTTCTGCTGTTATGTAAATGCAGACAACTACAGCTGGCTTCCTGGTGAGATGTCAGGGGTAGAGAGCCCAGTACTATAATTCAAAAAGGCAGAATAATTGTCTCTGAGCAATCTGTTTACTCACCTGCACGGAAAAGGTGAGAGAAGTCCCCTGGAAATGCTTCTCCACCACTGTCCCAACTCTCTGGGTCACCTGAAACAAATCGGCCACTTCATCAGGACGCAGGTCACAGAAGCGCTCCACTGGCCTCAGTGGGCACACGAGGACATCTGCAGCAAAGTGTGTTAAGGCACACTCTCAGCTTGCTTTGGAGATTATTCTTACAGAACAGCTAATACCCACAGTACTGAGTCCCCTTGACCTAGAGTCTGAACTCTCAAAGACTAAGGAATGAGGAAACAAATATTTACCAACCACTGAACTCCAAGGAGTGCAAAGAGGCTTAAAAACATGGTTATACTTCTAAGGAATAGCTGTGGTGTGCAGGAGAATTTCTTTTAAGAGAAGAGACATTAATGTACAGCATGACTCCAGTGCTTGCTGAGATAATTATACAGGAGGCAAGATCTATTCTGTACCATTATCTCCTGACCCCTGTTCTAAAGCTCATCCTCCAGCAGCCAACGGCACTATGCTAGAGAAGTAGCTGGATTATCTGGGAGGTTCCTTGAGATACAGCATCGTGATTAAAATTTTAAGTTTCTTTTTAGAGAAATAATAGAAATACATATGACAACAGTTGATTTTCTTTTTTAAAGGAGTGTGGACCTTCTGACAAGGTACAGTGAGCTTTATCTATAACTAAGAGATATGTCATGAGGCTAAGCAATTTACGACAAGGGTTCCTCACACAGATTATTCAGAATCTGAGAAGACATTTGAAGGTAAATCATTAAGGAAAAGGATTGCCTGCTTATAGAAAAGAAGCCATCTTAATGCATTTTACAAGTTGGATAAGGCAACATCATGGTCTGAAAAAACAACCAGTTCTAAAGGAGAGGATACAAGTTGAGCTCTCATCAGTAGCAACATTTCAGTTCCTTTTTGAATTTGAACTCATTGCATATGCATGTATACATATATATATGTGTGTGTGTGTATATACATATATGTGTGTATATACGTATGCATGTATTTGCCACTGAGTGTGTATATCTACAGATGTTCCTCAACTATGAAGTGGTTACATACCCAAAAAATCCATTGTAAACTGCAACTATCCTAACACAAATGCATTTAATACACCTAGCCTAGTGAGCATCATAGTTTAGTCTAGCCTTCCTTAAACATTCTCAGAACACTTACATTACCATACAGATGGGCAAAACCATCTAACACAAAGCCTGTTTTAACATAAAGCATTGAATATTTCATTTAGTTTATTGAATGTGGTTCTGAAAGAAAAAAAAAAAAAACCCAGAATGGTTATATAGGAACGCTTTTCCACCGCTGAAAAATTGAGAAATTGTTACATCAAGCCATCATAAGTAGGAACTGTCTGTGTGTATACATAGATGGTATATATTTATATTTGTTTAGTTTTCAGATACTAGCAGGAGAAAAATCTCTGTTATATTTACATTCTGTTTTTTTTTCCTTTTTTCTTATTGTTTTTTAAAAAAAAACAAACCGTGCTCTGCCTGGAGCTAAGCAGCAAAAGAGGCTAATAAAACCACAATCCCACAATCGCTAGTCTCACCAGAATATCAAGCCCTTTAACCCATCTCACTGTTGGTAGAACTCTGGGCCCAGGGGAAATGCATGGAGCTCAGCTGGGCAGGCTTGATTTTCAGAAGAGAAGAAGAGAAAAGAAAGAGGGAAAGCAGATTAATTTTTCTTGTAATCAGGAAATTCATGTCAACAGTAAACTAGGAAAAGGGGCATTTGTTTAATCTGAGCTCATTTTTCAAGACAGGAGAGGGAGGTCTTCACTGGCAGGGCATCTGATACTAAAAAAAGATAATTATCCTTCTTTGGCAGGGCTGCTTTATTATCATGGGTCAATGAACCACCATTTAGAAATGAAGAATTTCCTTTCATTTCGTCTTAGCAGATTGCCAGCCTCCACTCCCACTGAGTTGCGTTTTCTTTGTTAAAAGGGACCTTTCCCCCATCTTCCTCCTCCCTACTTTAATTTACACCCTCCCTTAAGCCCTGACTTCACCAAACAACAGCAAGATAACAGCCGTGCAAGCTTCCAACAATATCCATAATTGTTGTGTTAGGCTACTCTGCACACAGCAACTAGGTGGTGAAGGAATGGCATTTTCCTTAACTGCTGGAGCTGAAAACTGGTGGAATGATCTGACTACCTTTGAATCTCATGTAAATTTGGTAATACCAATGACATTGAATGTTTTTTGCTTCAATGCCATAAAAATATTATATGTCAATTTCACTTGTCTGATGCTAAAAATGAGCTAAACTCAATGTTTAATGAGTCGAAATATTTAGGGAATTAAATCCAAATGAATAAACCTGTCAGATGCTATGCCCTTTGTATGACAAAGCTATGACCAAGAGCTATATATCACATACATTTGTTACTTTTTGGATCATTAATAATAGTGATACATGTCACAGAAAAGTTAAACAGCCTCAATACACTCTCATTTAAGTGAATATTTTTCACCAGCTCATTTATACAACACTGTCCTAATATATCACACACATGTATTGTTAATAAGTCACCTCATTTGGATATAACACACGTTTGTATGCAACTGATAGTAAAATGAAATTGGTATGTGTTTGTGCAGGTGATCATTGTTTGTTGGGTTGGTACCCAGAGGATGGCTAAATAGGCGAACAGTCCTGAGGACCCCACAGGAAGTGACACTAGTCAGAGTCTCACAGAATCTGTCTCTGGATCTCTTGGGAGCTATAAAAGTGGTGGAGCTGGCCAGCAGCAGACACACCACCCAACACCACCCTGGGCCTTTTAAGGAGCTGCTTGAATCTGAAAAAGCAAAGGCAACCATTCACCCTCAGATCCTTTACAAGAAGAGAGAACAAGAGCCTATTTTTGACTTCACCATGGACTACATCTTGACTCTCCCACCTACCTCCAGAACCACACCTTTCCCCAGCCCTCCCTTGCATACTGTGTGCCTGCCTTCTTTCTATTCCTCATACGCACCAAGCTGTTTGCCAGTTTGGAGCCCTTGTCCTGGTGCTTTCTCTGCCTACAATTCTATTCCCCATCATCATCACATGACTGCTTCCTTCTTATTGAGATTCCAATTCCTATATCACTCACTACTTTGGAGAAATATTGCATGATCACCCTTTAGATTACTTCCTGGTTACTCCCTCTAACACCACTCTATTTTAATCCTTCTCATTGTTCTGGCCACCGGAATCTAATTTTCTTGGGTGTTGACTACATACCCAAATGAGTAAGCTACCTAGGAGTAAAGACTTTGTCTTGTTTACTACTGTGCCATCAGTGCCTATCACAAGAGAGGCACTGCTGGAACAAATGATAAACTACACCCTAACATCAGCCACCTCTGAGTACAAAGATCCTGACAAAAATGAGATGATACTAGATTGGGATGACCTGCATGATTGTTTTTTCTAATTTAAAGAAGCTTATCTGCAGTTGGTGTGGTTGCTCGGGCCTGTAATCCTAGCTACTTGGGAGGTAGAGAGTGGGATGATTGAGTTTGCAAGACTCCATCCCAAGCAATGAAAGCTGAGTGTGGCCATCATCCCAGCTGTGTGCTTCAGACTGGCCTGGACATAAACCTAAGACCCTGTTCGAAGACTAACCAAATTTAAAAGGTGGTAGACACCTGCCTAGCAAACATGAGGCCCTGAGTTCCAGCTCTAGTTCATCCAAAAAAAAAGAAAAAAGAAATTTGATCCTTAATACTTGGTTAGTTAAAACAAATTCTGGGTGTGAATTGAAAAATGTTAATTTATTTTAACATAAACTAATCTTACATAAGCCCTTAATACAAATATGAAGATAAAACTTTTTTTAAAAAAAACCCTTTGTAACTAAAAAGATTTGTTTTCTAGAAATGTTGCTTTGTATTTAGAGTCTCAGATAAACTGCATCTTTATAAATGCTGCTTTAGAGGAGGGTTGTAGCTCAAGTGGTAGAGTACCTATCTAGCATGCACAAGCCCTGGGTTCAATCCCCACCACTGCAATAAACAAACACTGCTTTATATTGTGGCTAGGAAATGTAGTCATTCACTCACTTAATGAACATTGAGCACCAGTTAAATGTAGATGCTGTTAGGATTTGGGAACAACAAAAGAGAACAAGAAGTTGCTCTTGCCTTCCGTCCAGTCCAGGAGTCAGGACAGTATCACTTCAGTACAATGGGAAGCATGGAGGAGATTAGGTCAGCAGAAAGCAGCATTCAGTGCAGTGGAAACCAGGAATACAGAAGTCAGCAAGAGCTCATGCCCAGCTGGTAGAAGGGATAGCCAGAGGCTAGTTGAAAATACAAATAGTTCATGAAGGACTTACGGCAGGGTAGCAGCAATTTTTTTCTGCAAAGGACCAGATGGTAAATCTTCTAGGTTTTATGGGTCATATGCCTAAGTAACCACAGACAATACAAAAACCAATAGGGATGTCAATATTCCAGTAAATTTTTATTTACAAAAAGAGGAGGTGGGTCAGGTTTGACCACTGGGACTTTACAATGCCAACTCTGGGTTTACAGGGATCACATTTGAAAGAGGTAACTAAGGAAAAACTAGAAACATTGGGAACCTCATCTGATGCTACAATGCTATCTTTTATTTCTTTTTTGGGGGGGGGCATTGGGACTGAGGTTTGAATTTAGGGCTTCATGCTTGCAAAGCAGGTGCTCTACAATTTGAGCCACACCTCCAGTCTATTTTTCTCTGCTTATTTTGGAGATGGGGGTCATCTCACAAACTATTTGCTCAGGTTGGTCTTGAACCTCAATCCTCCTGATCTTAGCCTCCCAAGTAACTGGGATCACAGGTGTGAGCCATGGGTTTACAATGCTGTCTTTATATGGCATACTGAACCATAACCATCATATTGTCTTTAAAATTTTTTACTTTTTAAGAAAAATACCTCAGCCAGGTTGTCCACTTTAATGACCCTGTGTAGCATTTCTGATGCTTGTAAGAACTAATCATAACACCAGAAAAAGGTGTTGTGGTATGGGTATCACAGTTATTCTTTCTAACACAGTTACAAAAGTTTCTGTCATCTCTAATTGGAAAAGCAAAGCATGTGATGTGCAAACACATAAGAACACCAAAACACTGTGCT